GGAAAGAGCATCCTGGGTTCAGGGTGTGCAAAACCCCAGCACCTTGCTGCTCAAAGGCCTGAATTCCCCCATCAATGCCTGCTTTTTAGTAAAAGCCCTAATTTGGAAAGGTGGTGGGTGATCCTGACTCTTGTCCTTTGCCTAAGCAGAGCTCTCTTTAAGATGAGATACGTTTATTCAGACGGTATTAACAAGCGTGTGATTAACTGAGCCTGATTCCCTTAGTATAACAGAACTGGAGCGCACAAAGCAGACCACCAATTCAGTTATGGATAAAGAAACGCTCAAAAGGAGGAATAGGAATGTCTATGTGACCAAATAACCACTGTCGAGCTGTTGGCATTGCTTTGTGTTGGTCTGTGCAGAATTACGGGTTTAATGCAACTCTCTCCGGAATTAGAACAGCTTCTTTTTTTATCTACGTGACAGAACGCTCCCTTGGGAAACCAGGGATCTGAGTTTTGTTTCATCACTGACCCCATAAAATGAATTTTTAATTATGTGTATACTCTTGTCTAGTAGGATGGCTTATGATAGCCCTCAGAATAGACACGGAGTACAGTTTCTGTCTGCTTTGGCTCATTTCTGACCCTGCCATCTGTGCCTAGGGAAATAAGGTTAGCAAGCTGTGTAATTAAGGCTTGACATTTATTTACCAAAGACATCAAGAATATTTTTCGGCTATTAAATGTCGTGCCAAGAGGTCTCTCCAGCGTTTTTCCTGTCTCTTTATATGTACGTACCTGTTAATTTTGTGGCACTCCTTAGTGATGAAGTTAAATGGAAAAGTAACAGCAATGAGACCTAGGTTTATTCTACTTACTATCTATCAGCCAGTAAGATGTTTATAATTTAAGCCTTTGTCTCTGTCTCTTCCAATTTGAGCACTCTTTCTATTCCACTTAAAGGTTTTCATTGAGAAAAATCTGTATCCCCAAAAAGTTTAAATTAAATCACCTTTTAGAAACCACTATCATCTTTCTTAGCTTTCTGAAAATCTCTTGAAATTGGAAATCTCTTGCAAAATTCATGATCTTGGTTTTAGTTGCTTATTTGATGAATTACGTACTTTTCTAGTGATTTAATATTGATCTTTAGCAGAAAAATTCTGAACAGAACTCTCTAGTGTGCTTGTATCATAATTACTTGCAAATTTGTGTTTTTTGATAAGGACATCTGGGACAAGAGACAATAAAATAATAAGTTCTTAATGGTAAGCTTTGCCTTGCACCCAAATACATGTTTTCAGCTATTACAATTAACCCTACCAGTTCCTTGGTAACAGGAACTGTTTGTAGTGATGGAGAAACTTTTACTCCACTCTAAGAGAGACTCTAAGAGAGACTGCAGATATTGGACGTGAACATTTTTATCCTGAGGGTAACCTCCTCCACTCTTCAAGTCTTACACAGAGAGAGGCCTTGCTGTATATAGCCATTTCAAACCATCCCTGGGATTAATGTCAATAAATAACTGATCGTACAGTGGCAGAATAAGGGTTGTTTTTCTCTATTTTGAAATCACTTTCCAAATGCCCTTTTCTGCTCTGTTTTTCCCAGTGAAGCCAATTCAGTAATGGTGTTCCTGGTGGTAGGCTGCTGTAATTTGCTCAGCAAAATTGTAGCAAAATCACTATTGAGCAATTGCTGTTGAACTGTGATGAGCCGGTAATCTCAGCTGTAGCACTCATTCTCAACAAATCCCCCAAACTCTGCCCACGCTGCCTGGGTGTCTCTTGCTGGTGATCGTTTAGTTTTAGAAAATGGTTAATTCCTCTGCAGAGTGCATTGCTCTTCTGCTGTGGTTGGGGTTGAGGGTTGTTTTGTTTTGTTTTGTTTTTGTAATTCCCGTCTTTTCCTGAAATTGGTAACAAATATTGACAATAAACATTGCATTTTGGGTCCAAAGCAGCCTGAGGGCCCTCCAAGGAGAAGAGCTGAAGTTTCACCGAACACTAGTTTCCACTGGGAGTATTTCCTGGTAGCTAATTCTGTATATATTTAGATTCATCTAGAGCCCAGCTTTTCAGCTCCTAACCTGCATGCAGGCAGATATTTTTCAGACTCTGTTAACAATGTGCATTGATCAGATAGCTGACAGATGTTACCAGTTGTTGGGTTTTTTCTAACTTCCGTGAGCCAGGGAATGACTGCACCTCTGGGAGTCTGATTAAAGGGGGGTTGATATAGGCCTGTCTTTTAAAATGCAGTCAGACAGAGCCCCTTTTCTACTTTAATCTCATTTTTCACAGATAGAAGACCGCTTTAATGTATTTGTAGGAATTAGCCATTCCTACTTAAGACATTATATCAATACTGCAATCCTCTTGTTTTGCTAAATACGCTTTTGGCATAACTAGGTGAGCATTGCTCCGTATGTGCTGCTGTTGGGTTCGTTTGGTATTTTGCTCCTTTCCTGAGAGGAGTTTTGAGCCATGCCTGTCATTCCTGC